ACAGCCAACAGCCAACAGCCAACAGCAACAACAACAACAACAGCAACAGCGACAGCTACGCCAACAAGGTACGCGTTGCGTCTGCCGCCGCGGAGGGTGTGTCGTTTTTTGTTTGAGGGTTTTGGTTCAAGAGCCTGCAAACCTAGAGTTTTGTGGGTTTCATGGTGTCCCCCTTGGTGTTTCCATGTTTTGTGTTTTGTTTATCTAGTGTGATGTTTGCGAAAGCGTCGTAAACACTTACGGTTGTTGTTGTTGTTGTTGCTTAGTTTTGCGTCCGTTTTCAAGTTTATTGAAAGAGCCCACATAGCGCGAGACTTGTTTAGTGGGAGCGTCTGACAAGTAGCAGTAAAACAGCAGCAACAGGGTGCAACATTGCCATTATCATTGTTATCATCACAGTTATCGCCCATCGCCATCGTTATCCCCTACACGAGCAAGCAACAACATCAACATCATTATCTTCGTACTTACCAACATCATCGTGTCGTAGGCAGGAGCATCAACATCATGATCAACGTCATCAGGATCAGGGTCATCATCCTCATCATCATCATCACCATCGACATCACGGTCAAGGCAATCTGTTTTAGGAATACAGCTTTGAATGTGGAGCTGGCGGGGTTCTTGGTAGCAAAAACGAGTACCACGGTGTTTACAAAGCGTCGCAAAACCACCCATGAATTCTGCACGGAGCAGAATAAGAAAGACTAGATGCAAGCCGCATTCGCATTGACGTTATCAGCCCCCACCTCTCCCCACCCTTGCACCGAAGCAAAAGAAGCACAGACGCAGCAAGTCCAAAGAAGAAACCAGCCGACTTGCAAACAAAGAGCGGAAACGGAGAAGCCACGGATGACTGTAAATACCCATAGCGCTCCCATAGAGGTCCACGCTGCCATGTGCGAAAAGTCGAGTTTTGGCACAGCGCAGCCCTGAAATCGAACATGCTTTTTTCAGGAGAACACCTTTAGACAACCAATACGAAATGCCAAGCGCAGGTTATTTGTCTAGACGGCCTGCAGCCCTGCATTCGCTCCACCCCCCGGGGCGGCAGATGCAACAGCTGCCAACCACCATTAACCCTCCAGGTACCTACTATATAGGGCCCTAGGGGCTCTAGTACCCTATATAGTAGATACCTGGAAGGTTAGGGCACATCAGCAGCAGTAGCAGCTGCCGCGGCGGCAGGCGGGCAGCAGCATCAGCAGCGAGAACGAAAGTTAAAAACTCGGAACAGAGCCGGCAGACACAATCTCAACGAGGACAGCGATTTCGCATTAGCTATAGCTAATTACAGTTAATGCTATCGCCTTACTGCTTGCTTCTACGACTTCGACTACATGCTGTTTCGTTGCTGATTTCTGACTTCCTGTACTTCAAACACAGCGACAAACAGGACGACCGCAACTACGTTGCTACTGCGACCAAAACGACCACAGCTACATGGGTTTTTCTACGATCTTTACTAGTTTCTTCTGTTTCTCGTACAGCAGTTCCTTTTGACTTCACGCCGGAAACCAAGAGCGTCTGGTAGTGTTTGTTCTCACTGATGGCTTGGGCCAAGCCGGCAGCGGCTGCATGCATCCAAGAGAATGTAGAACATGCCAGAAGGCCCAACACCCGAAGTCACCCAGATGTTTTGCCTTGAACCCTAAACCCTAAACTCTGATTGGTCACATGTCATGGTGGCTGAGGCAGCAGATGCGTGGTCCCGGTGAGCGGCAGAAGCAGCACGTCGTCTCCAAGTTGGTGGTTCCCAACTCGTCTGTGAGCCACTCTTCATGCCTGCTCATCA